CAATTTAAAACGATTTAAATAATATTGAACATAACTTAGAAGCCTGTCTAGAAACATGTCGTGGATTTATTCGTAATTCTTGACACATCTGTTATAATCGTGACGTCACGTCCTACTTTTAAGGGCATGGAAGCGTTTTGAATCTTGCGGTTTTCAAAACGCTCTAACGTTCTCAAATGTTGTTTGAGAAACGCAGGAAAAAATAAAAATAAACTCCTGGGCGTAGATTCCAAATATGCAATAAAAATTGCATGCCCCAACCCCATTGCATAATTCTATTTCGCTCTCATATAACCGTCACGTTCACTTAAGCGGAATATGCTGTATTCCAAACATGTTACAAAATATACTATTGGGTTGGGCTTTCAATACAGGGTGGTCCAGGATTAATCGGAAAAATTTTAATGATCGATAGAGCCTGAAAAAACAAAAAAAAGAAACCCAAAATCATTTTTCAAAAATACACACTAACACACTATAGTGTATTATAATAGCCCTTCAAATGCAAAAAACCGTTTTTTTTAATAACTTTTAAACCATTAAACCGATTCTGCTCAAATTTTATGTAGTTAAATTTTTTTACAAAAGGCCCACCGGCGGAGATTTTGAAGGGTTTCACCTTTTTACCCCCATATTTCGACCCCACTGGATTTTATCGGAAAATCAACAGATTGTCAAACACATGTGATTTATTATGCCACGTTATCAGTTTAGCAACATCGAATATGCAGATATTCATTATGTGTATGGACTATGTGATGGAAATACGCTAGCACCAGAGGTTTCGAGACTTTGAACTACGAAATAATAATGAACAAAATGTACGTGAACCGAGATTAAGACGACGGAATAGAAATAGGATACTGAGAACTTTTCAAAATGATTCAGGGTTGAGCTCCCGGAAAGCTGCTTTAAGACTGAATCCCTCAAAATCAAATATTCTAAGAGTTCTTCATGACGACCACCAAAAACCATCATTACCGCCCGGTTCAAAAAAGAAGAGCCCAATTTTGTTCGAAAAATTTTATGGCGCTCCAGCACATTCAAGTGTTCGAGTGCTGCAATGGTGCGACAAAAATTTCCCGCAATGTTAGATTGGGCATTTTGGGCCAATCTCTTGGCCGGCGAGATCGCCTGACCTCAACCCGTTAGAATACTACTTTTGGGGATGTGTGTATTCGACAACAGTAAGGACTAGAGAAGAATTAATAGACAGGATACGAGATTAATGTAACTACACTACAAGTTGCACGGGCTGTCCAATTCCTTCTACGGCGCTGTCAAATGTGTTTGGATGCTGGGGGAATGCATTTTGAAAGTCTGATATAATTTGCTACAAGCTACTGTTACTGTTTTAATTTGTTACCGAATCAAGATAAAAATAAACTAGCGTCTAGGAGTCATCGTGCAATTGTTACTGATCCCGTCATATTTTTAGGTTGTTTTATTGTAACGTTGATTGAGGATTACAATCAACGTTTGTAATTAATAATTTAATATTTGTACACATTGTTTTTGAAATTTTAAACTAATATATCTCCGAAACCACTGATCTGATAAAAAATTAACACAAAAGTTTTGCTTTTACATTAAAAAAGGATATAATAAATCTGATAAATCCAGTGGCGTCGAAAATATGAAGGTAAAAAGGAAAACCCCCCCAATATCTCTGCCACTGGGCCTTTTGTTGGAAAATTTCGTTATATTATCGACGGAAGCTTAACCTACACAAAATTTAAAAAGAATCGGTTTAATGGTTTAAAAATTATTTTGAAGTACTATATCTCCGTTAGTATGCATTTTAAAAAAATGTTATAGTGTTTGTTTTTATTGTTTTTTCAGGCTCTATCGATCATTAAAATTTTTCAGATTAATCCTGGACAACCCTGTACATATTGTTATAAATTAAATACCTATCCATTCTTATATTATATATTAGAATTACAAAAACGTTTATTGGACTTTGAATTGTAATTTTAAGAAAATAGTATAAAATAGTAAAACACTGTTTTAGATTGAAAATGGATCTTGGTTTGAAAAAAATAGCATGCTCTTTACATGTTTGCTGTATAAACAGCAAACATGTAAATAATTTTTAATTAATCTATACATATTCATTAAAGCCCTGAACAAACAGCCAGACCTAAGGGTCTAAAGTTTTGACAGTTTATTCACATAACCGCTTAGATTTTTTAAAATTCTATTCCCAAAATTCGGAAACTCCAAAATTCAATTCTAATTATAATTAATCCCGGCGCATTCGCCATTTTTGAAAGTATTTAACTGCTTTGATGAAATTTGAAATGGGAAAACGGAAACACCAATTCCATCAAATCTTGTAAAACAGCTCTGACAGGTACATAACTATTTTCCACGACTGTACTAGCAACTGGTGAGTATAAAAACTAGAAGTAAAATTTTTTGCCACTTGTCCAATGAAAGAGAGGGGCAGTTTAACAAGTATCTTGATTAACAAAAACGTAGATAAAGTAGATTAGTTCCTCTTAGTTTAAAATCCAATAATACGGATAATTCAATCGAAGGAAGTGAAAAAAAAGTCGGTAAGTGGAGAAAGAGGACGGACGGTCTACGAAAGAAGAAGGGAAGAGGTGAGAAAGTGGGATGAGAGTGAAAAATGCCCACACCAAAACTAATTGAACAAATCGCACCTCTATTTGTCAATAAGTCAGTTACCCACTCAGTAACACGTGAGATTTCGAGTATAGCGGGTATTTATCAGCTTTAGCTGATATTTCAGCGTTTCGAAGACACCAAATTGCCGCACCAATTCCCCTAATACTACTTTTCTAATCGATTGTCTGATTTAATTGTTTTCCAAAGTTTCGACTTTTTAAAGAAAATAAATGTCCAATAAACTTTATCATTGCAAAAGGACTACAATACTTGGCAACTCCCCTTGTTCCAATTTAAGCATAAGAAATATATTTTTTCGAATAGTTAAACTAAAGTTAATAAAATAAAGAAGGGTATTATGGAAAAATTTTAAGGTGCCGATTTAGATTCTATGCATCCTTTTTTTCTATTGTATTAAATTCAGGTTATTTATTTTAATGATGATTTTATACTTAAATTCTTATTCCTATTCAAAATAATAACTTACAGTATCTTTTTCTTAATTCCTTGAAACAGCACGTATAAATTTGAATTCTTCGAGCTAATTAATCTTTATTTGGTTCGTTCTGGTCGTAATCAGCGTTGAAAAAATATAAATGGTTAACAATAAATTTTGAACCGAGCATAAATTCTTTTTATCTCGTCTTGCTGATTAACTACCACACAATAAATCCTAAAAACGATACTTCGTTTAACCTTTCTCCATTCATTTATCCTAAAGATCCACATTTAGAGATATCCAAATCCACTTTTAAATTTTTTTATGTAAAAACAATAGTTTTTGTACAATTATTGATACTTTAAAATATTAAATATCTTCAAAATATTATTATGTTAATAAAATATTTTTACTTTGATTTTTTTAATTATAATAATTGCAAAATAGTATCACAAAGTATTAAAAATTCTTACACGGGAAATGTGGAAAATGAGGAACAAAAAGTGACAGTTGTATTTATTGGAATTCCCGTTAGAATTTCTAACTCGGGAATCTACCGGATTTAAAATCTCAAATTTTTCTGTGTAAATCAAAATTTATCCCTTGAAAATAAACTAACAATCGATATAGAAGCAGTTTTTCACAGTAAAAGAGAAGAGAATGTTTTATGGGCACTCTACGCAAAATTTTTACCGCTTTCTCAGTTAAATCTAGTTAACTGCACTACTATGGCGAAATCAAAATGTCAGGACAAACATTCATATAATCTTTTCAAATATTGGCGTCAAGAAACTATTTAATATTTTTGTATTTTTAAATTGAGATAATAAAATAATTTTCATTTTTAGTATTATTTAACGAGATATGCACTTTATTTTAACGATTGTATAAATAGTCATATATGACTAACTTCAGCCCGTGACTAAAGCGCCATAAAGCCACAACTTGTCAATGTCAATTTAAAAGATCACTTAGTGTATTGTATAGTGAGAAGATGAAATGACAGTATTTTTTGACAGAATTATAATTACAGACCAAACTACTACTACTTTTCTGATCGATTGTCTGATTTGCAAAGTGGTCCAAAATTAAAAAAATGGGGGGAAAACTCGCAAATTTATAAATTTAAAAAAAAATGGTAGGACAATTTCTTAAATTTTTTAAAAGTTTACAATTTGTAATACCTATTTTCAAAATTTCCAAAATTTTAAGGTTTTCAAAATTTTAAGCTTTCCAAAATATTAGAAAAATTTAAAAGGATAACTTAAACCACGGTAATTTAAAAATACCCAATACATAATAATGATTTTTTTGTAAAATATGGGCCCAATTTAAATGTGGTTCTAAAAATAAAAAATCTTGGACGCAAGATTGCTTTTATTAAATAAAAACCAGTAATTTTTTAATGAAAAACCAATACAAGTTTTTATTGGTTCATTACCGATCAAATTACATTGAAAAACGTAGAGGTAAATCAAACAAAATCTACCGCTGTAATACGGAAAACAAATATGTATTTTCAACCGCATTTAAGGCAAAAGGCAGCCATGTAATTTGAAATCCCGATTGACGAAACCAGAGTAAAGAAAACATGATTTAGAATTAAAAAACCATTGACTCTCTATTTAAATAACACACAGTATTAATTTCTGAAACATTCGCCGGTTCGTAAACGAATAATTAAAGCATTTCATCGCATTTGCTATACCAGTAGTAGCCGTAGAAAAAATCGCGTACACTTTTAAAACGGCCGAGTTATCTCCTTCTCTCTTCTGTTTATGTTTCCTTTTCGCCGGTTGCTTGTTGATTGTTCTTCTGTCTTTTTCCGACGCTTAGCCCCGGCGTTTATTGGTCTCAGTCGCGCGACGGTGGCGCCACGCGCGGTAGAAAAGTTTAAAGCCGAGTGCCGCTCATTCCTTTACGCGCTGCCGTGCTGATAACTCTGTTGCCGTTGTTCGAGACGCGCGAAAGTTTGTGCGCTCTTTACGAAAACTTGAACCAAGTGTTTATCATGTTTTAGTGTGATGTGCGATTATTTTCGTAAGATAACTTAAGCATGAGAATTTAATTTGTGTACAACCCTGTGTAGTGCGTTTTTGGGATTTAACGAACTTTTTTCAAAGGACACGATGGATTCCAGCACCCGGTTTTCGTGCTTCATTTTACTAGGATTAATAATATGTAAGTAAATTAGTGGCAGTTTTAGAGCTTCGTGTTATGCAGCAGTACAATTCAATTAATTGTTCGAACGTTTTGCGGTTTTAACCAATTTTAGGACCGAATATTCCCGTAGGATTGGGCACCGCAAAATTTGTGTCCCGAATTCAGAATTTAAATTTTAACTGAGCAGTTTGATGAAGATTAACAATATTTCTAATGCCAAAACCACACACAATTTGTTGACGTTTTGCTCCAGTTTGTATTAACAAATAACCGTTAAAAAAGTTAAAATATCGGTAAAAATGTAAAACCAAAATTTATAGAAAATTACCGGTAAAAATTTTAGAGAATTAATTAAAAAAGTTTAGTATAGTTTTTTCGTGTCAAAAAGCTTTCTTTTGGCTTTCAAAAAAGTTTATTAGGTATTAAATCATGTTTTATGAAAAATTTATTTATTTATTCATTTTTATTAACGTAATTAAAAAAATCATTTTGGTATTTTACATGATTCACAAACAGCAAAAACGTTTATTTTAATAAAAAATTGGAAATAGGCACCTAATTAATAAAAGTTTCTTTTTGGATTTTTTAAAATATTTTAAAGCTGTCAAAAGACTTTTGTTTTAAAGCAAACAATATAACCAACTCCAATGTTTTTAATAATCACAAAAATCATTTTAGTAAATAAAATAAAGTAATATTAAGCTAAAACTTAACCCTATAAAATTAAAATTACAACATTTTGATTAAAAAATCGCGTCTAAACAATTTATTTCCTAATTCTGCGAAATAACTAACAATGCAAAATTGTAACAGCAATTTCAAAATAAATTCTTGCAAACCCATTGTTTTATTTTATCAAATATTTTAAAACTCGTAAAACTTGTTACCAATAACAAATTTTATTGAAGTTCTTGAAAAGGTGTCGCAATATTTGTTTAAAAAATCCTTGACATACACATTTCCTTAGATTTTATACCACTGAATCACAACTGACATTCCCTGTCTTTTTTTATTATGAAAAAATAACTCATAACATTGGTCCTTGAAAAGTTTTTTTTTCGTTTTATAAAATGTTTATTTTATCATAATTTAGACTGTCCTAAAAATCACAGTAGAAATATAAAACGCCGACTTATTAAGTATAAAGTAAAAAACTAATGATATACGACTAAAAGTTTGCGCTTTTAAAGAAGACGAAATTTCCTCCATTTGTATTCATTATCTTTTCAACATATATAACCTGGAAAAATTTGCGCGGCCAAAAATTGATTAGATCAAATTTTTAATCCACTTAGCAATATTAATTGCGCTTTTTAAACCACTTTTTTCTCGAATTAATTTCGACAAAACAATATTTTTTATTAGGGAACTAATTAAAAAATCAATTCCCTGCTTGCATGCAGCGAGTGCAGTGTGCATATATAAAATTCGTGAGATAAAAGATAATTTTAAAAGCTTTATTACTATTATTAAAAAGAAAGTTTACATGGTTTATAAGGCTATAAATACTAGTACTAAACGACAATAAATTATAATATTTGTACAGGTAAAATTGTTTAGAAAATGTTTATAATTAGGTAAAAACGATGGGTTAACCTTTATTTTATTATTTATTGTATGTATTGTATAGTATGATTCATAGTTTATTTCAAAAATTAAAAAAAAATGTCTTTATTCACCTTTATACATTTCTTTTATTGTATTAAATATGTTTTAACCTTTAGTAAAGTACTAATTATTAAAATATATAGCGATATAAAATATAAATTATAGGTATGTAAAATATTTCCCTTAATATAATATACGAGGTGTGTTCAGAAAATATCGGGAAATTTCGTTTTTTGAAACAAATATTTATTTATTCGTCTACATTAATGTTGTCGCCTTTAAAAATTGCAAATTAACCAAAGACAATAAAAATGATGTGTTGCATATTCTGAGGGTTATAAATCAGGCAAAAACTTTTATTAAGAATGAAATTTTTTGAGAAATGTAAAATATTTTTTCCGTAGACACATACCTACTATACCTAGGTACGTTGGGATTAATCAATGCCACGCAACTAATCTAATCATGGTGGCAAACTAAATTTTCAATTACCGTCAAAGTAGAAATTATTCAAAAATAAATGAGTATGTATTGTAGGGACATAAAAAATGTCCAAACCATGAAAATTCCTTTCCGTTTCGCTACCCAACCCACGTGTGTTCTCTTAATTCTGCAAGACCGGTATAAAGGCGCCAATTCTGCAGACTCGAGCACGACATTTACATTTCTTTGTTGTCCAGGTTATAAATAAATTGCTGCAACCACACGACGCAAAGTCTTGTTTCTTTGGCAATTACAAAATAGCGTAAATCTAATATTAATGCGTCTATCGTTCAAAACGTAGGAGTGTTACCAAGTAACCAACCATACAAGGAATATATTTTTATTTTAACAGTTTTATTTTTTTAGTGTTAAACAAATTTTATGTTGCACCATTTTACCTCCAACTACACTTACTAAAATATTTTAAATGGCACAGGTATATACAAAAAATATGTTTTAATTGCTTTGTTTCAATTTACCTTTAGCTATAGCTCTATAGAGATGCGACTTAAAAAAACCGGTCCGTTTTTTTTTTCAGGTTTTTCTTCATTGTTTTTCATATTTTAGTTTTTAACTTATTAGTCCGATTTGCCTAATATTTTATGTTTCCAGACAAGTTCATGGACTAAAATTAGCCACTAAATGACATTTAGTAAATGTAAATACAGTCTCACGCTATGCTCGCGCCACCACCACCGAATTGACCAATAAGGGCCGCGCTTCTTTTAATTTGGTCCTAAAAAAAGTAACTACCTACCTATAGGTATAATATTTTTGATTCAGCACTTGATTTTTCAAAAAGCTACCAAATTCACTTTTTTCATGATTTTTTAAATTCATGTAGAGTATGGAAATTTTTTTTTCAAAAAAAACAATAGCAAATTTATTTATTCATTGGTGGTTAAGTCAGAACCGAGGTCAGAACATTCCGTGGACCAAAAAAGAAAGCCAAAAAAAATTCGAATTTTTTTATTACGGTATTCATTAGGATTGAGCGTAGCACGTTTTTCATCTAAAAATCTCAAAGCTAGAAACTTCAGCTTCAAATTGTTTTTTTTACGGCTCCAATACGACCATTTATAACGAAGATACAGCCATCCGAAAAATCGCAAAAAATTTGGAATTTTTTTTCCTTAAATTTTTTTCTATTAGTGTAGAAGTTTTACATTGCTATTGGTTTCTTATGTGGAAACTACCAAATAATAAGTAAATAGATTTTTTAGTCTCGGTCAAAATTTTCAACAATGAAAAACGTAATATATTCTACATTTCACTTTATTATTAATATACATTTTACTCAAAATTTCATTTTGAAAAATTACCCCATTTTTTAAGATTGATGTTATTTATTGACAGAATATGCTTTATTTTAGCAAATTTTTTTTTCATGTTTTTTTTTCACATCTGAAAAAAACCGTTTTTTTTACATCTCTACCTTTAACAGGGATGTTTAGTTTTTATTGCTTTATCAAACTACCTAAATATTAGGAAAATGGTGTATACTTTAGCAGAAAAAACCTAATTCATTTTTATTTACGGATTTGATTCCAGTGCTGTTCAATAATTGACATACAACCAGGTGAATTTTTTTTTATTTTCTTAACGTCAATGAATCAGAAATTAAATTTCCTTTTAAATGATGTATCGCTAGGTATAAGGTGCTATTTAAAATTTTTTAGTAAAAGTAGCTAGAGGTGAGAGGGTGCAACATAAAATTTGTTTAACACTGGATTTGTACTTCCCTCCAGATATCTAAATCTACCTGTTTTTGCTCAAGATAATATTTACTATAACTCAAAAGTTATTAAGGCTGGCTAGTTTTTAATTAAAAGCCATGTATAATATATTATAAGCCACAGGTTTCACAAAACGACCGTTAAAATATATAGTGAGGGGGAGTTCAGAAACGTCCAAATATTCGTGACAAAGACTCCATTAAGCGCTTCCCCTGATTGCGTAATTTCGTTCCTAAATAGTATTAATTGTCAACCTTATTTTCATATGAATTAAATTCGCATAAATTTTAAATAATGACTCTATTATTTAAACGATGATAACATCTTAGCCCTCAACACGAAATTCGACTTCAGTCAAGCTTGATACCAAATAATATGCTTTCATCGAGACATTTTTTTTAATACAAGATGGTTCACATAGATCCTACTTTGTAAATAATGAGACGATTTAAAAAAAAATTTCATTAAAATACTACTTTTTCCATTTATTTTCTATTGTGCCCTTAACAAAGAAACTGCCATATGTGCCCACAAAAAAACAGTTTAAATTCAACGAAGCTGTTTACAAAAATGCATTTTCCATATGTGCATGTGTTATTCTCATACGGAATCTAGACACAATGAATTTGTCAGGAGTCTCCCCATTATTTACAGCCAAACGTATCACAGTGCACTGTCACTCCTATAAAAATACACAAGTCAAATTTATCTTTATCCAGATTTTTTCGTTTGTGTTTACGTTTTACAACTGTCTGTTTATTTGGCTTTCCTTTCAATTAAAAAACCCATACGATGTTCTAATTAACGCGTACAAACAGATTTAATGCGCTTTTCTACTAATATTTACACACATGGACGTAGTTCTGAGTAAATAATAAGTCTACGAACTGTCAGTTTTTATGATTAAGCATAGCAACGTTCAAAAAAATGTTTGATATTCAACTATGTATATTTATAATTTATGTTCAGTCAAGTTTATGTGATGATATTTAGTTTTTTTAAGTATATCATTCCCTATATAAAATGTTCTGGCAAAATTCAAAAATATATATATAAAAATGTAGCAATGTGGGCTTTATTTATCTGATTTTAATATTTCAATAACTTTAATTGATTGAAGCTTTATTATCTTTATCGACAGAAAACCCAACAATTTTATTTTTTACTTCTCAAAAACTGGGTTTCCAAAAA